TGTAACAGTCATGTTCAAGGAAAAAACATTTTGCAATATGAAACTTGTGACTATAAATATAAAGCGTTAATTTGTGGAAAATCATCTTTTAATATATTTTAGAATTATGAGATATTTGTTCAAATGAAATATACATTGGAATCTTTGGCTTGCCAGTTTCTCTACATTGTATTCTAAAATTCACTGAGCATCACAAACTAACTGCAATAGGAGTGCTTCAATTGGTCTCAGCATCCTAGATTTGTGAGCAGGAGAGGAAATTAACAGTTCCTGCACCTGATTTCTATCCAGCTATCCCTTCCTGCTGGGATGCATGTATGGATGTTGGCTCCAGACAGGATATGCTGCCCCGAGATTGACTAGCTTTGCAGATACTCCTGTCCAAAGTTTATTTATGAATAATAGTCACTTGATTAAGCACTGAAAGTGCAGTTGGTGTCGCTGGAACTGCACCCCAGTCAAAGGAGTCCGATCCTTCTGAAGACTGGAAAGAACATTAGTCAAAGGAAAATGGAAATTAAGACTTCATTCCGTGCACTCTCCTTATACACATCCTTAAATTCTTGATCCACTTCTCATAAAAAGATTGTAGGACTTTGAACTCCTAGACAAGGCTGGTGCTTCAGCGGCCATTCATTTCACGGCTGTTTTTTGGGACATTACTGAGCACTAATTGGCTGCCACTTGCGTTTACAAATACACAGTCGCTGCAACTTTACAGTAAAATCCCGTGAAGCGCTTTTGAGACAATTCAATGACATGAGAAGACGCTATATTGAATGCAAATTGAAGGATTATTATGCTGTAAATGTTTCCGAGAAGAAGCAAGGCAATTCCCCACATGGTGGGTGGGGAGGTGGGTGTTGCCCTTTACAACACTAAACCTGTGCTCTCTTGTCCTCAATAAGATCACCTTTGAGACATCTTGTTTGGAGACTTACCTAACTCAGGTCACATCCTTTACAACAACAACAAAATTACATTTATAGAGCGCCTTTCACGTCGGGAGGACGTCCCAAGGCGCTGAATTCACTTGGGATCTGCCTGGTTGCTCTTGTAAAACTTTACATTTTATTATTGTTAAAATCTTATTTATTCAAAAGTCTTTTTTCCCCAGGAATTCATTATTTTAATGAGAATTCATGAATTAAAGCACAGAATGGCATCATTAATGTGTATTTTAATGTTAAAATAATAACACCAAGAAATTGGCACTTTTCATACCTCTAACGTCATAGGTAGTCTGAACCATTAACTTCAATGAGGTTTGTCATATTTGAAGAGTTCAATAATTCATATTGTATTAATTTCCTATCATTACATTTGGGATTCATTACAGTACCCATAGGTTTTTGTAGATTAATAGCTATGCATGAGGGAGTTCTTAGGAAAAACCTTTATTTGTGTGTTTTTTAACTATTATCTGAACCCTGAAATTGGATCAGCGTGCTCTCAGGTATGTTATTTTACGAAAATAACTAGTACACATGTAAGTATAGTTTTCATCATTTATTTAAATCTCCACATATAAATGAATAGGTTTTCATCCAAAAATATAGGGCAATGCCCATTTTAAATTTGCTGCCGTGCAATCATTAAGTGACCGTATTGTCCTTTCCCTCATCACTACATGTAAGACCACAACTGGCATTGTGTGTCAGTTCTTTTTCTCCAATCAACATCAAAAGAATGAACTGCTGATGCACACTGGAGAAATGTGCCATGCTGTTTGATTCCTTGTACAGCTTTAATGTGTTAACAATGATTACTGTGAAACGCTATGAGTCATTTTGGCAAATACAACAACAAAATTACACTTGGATATCGCCTTTCACGTCGGGAAGACGTCCCAAGGCGCTGGATAAATAAAGCGCTATAAAAATGCATTTTTTCTTCTAAAGCTCCCCTGATGGCTCAGTGATTTTATTCATGTACACCCAAGAATTTGTGGTCCCTTGTGTATGCTTAGTTTGCTCATCTCAGCTGGTGTGACACAAAGGGTCTTACAATTGGATTCAGCCTGGATTAGGGAATGAAAAAATCAGATAGAGTTTCCAATCCTGATCGTTCGCCAGCAATCTCCAATGGAGGTGCGTATGCAAGGTGAAGAGAAGGATCTTGGTTTGCTGTGATTGGCCCCTTCACTGTGTCATGTCTGAATAATAGTGAGTTAGGTGAGTTATTGCGAGATGACTAATGACTGAACCCCATTAGATGGAAAAGAAATTCAGGAGAGGAATAGAGTAAATTTGATGAGAAAAAAAGTTTGTAAATATTTTTAGCTCATATTCTCTGTTGAAATTTTTCTGAGTTGATTCATCCCTTTTTAAAACAAATGTGGTTACTGAGGCCACGACTGTTTGCGGGACACTGCTGTGCACAATTGGCTGCCATGTTTTGCCCACAAAATATACAGTGAATTCACTTTACAGTATATTCTGTGAAGCGCTTTGAGGCGTCTCGAAGACGCGATAAGGCGCTGTATCAAATGCAAGGATTATTATTGCCTTAGACTAATGGCAGCAAATGGATTAAAGATTTTCACATTCTTCTGACTGGAAATATTCATAATCAGTGCTGGTGTTTTTCTTGCAACATAAAGCATAGAATGGAAAAATACATTACTTTTATAGACCATGTGAAATCTTAAGTGAGGGATATAATTCACTTTTCTGAGCATTCTTCAATGATTCTCACTAATTCAACCAAACTTTCTATTGTACAGTATTAATTTTTACAAGTTGCTTTCCTTAGTGTGAGATTTCCATGGTCAGTTTAGTAACCATCATGTTTCAGGCAGCATTGATTAATCCTATTTGTACTTCTTAAAATCTTCATCCTGCTTCTAACTAGATATTACAGCTGTCGACAGAACAAGGATGTTCTCTCAATCACCTATGTAGTGGTGAGTCGTCAAAGTCAACTCATCTATAATGCAAAGGCTTTATGAAGCTTCTAGGCCAGACAGAAAATTTTAATTTAATAAAGACATAATATCAAAGGTTCTGGTCAAGTCACTTGGTGCTTTAATTTGTAAAGCTGAGGAGGAACCATGTGTGACTTCTAGAACTGGTACTAACTGTTACTGAACTGTTTCAGACAGTTGGTTTTAGATCAGTCCAGATTTAGTCCTCTTAGACACTTCTTAAAAATGATTCAACCCAATATCAGAGACTTGCCACTTCCACATGCCAGGTTAGGTTTTCAGTCCTTTGTGGTTGTGTCAGTTACTATCCATGTTAGGCACTTGGGTTAACAGAAGACAGACCCAGCTTAAGATTGTTTTTGTTTTTCTGTTGACAGCTTACCCATTCCTACACCAGTATTAGTTGAAGCATGTTGACATTGGCAAAACTTAAATCAGTTAGGTTCTGCGTGGGTTTCAAAACTCTTATTCTTTCATGCTATAACACATCATATACAACTTTAAAATTGGTCTTACCGTCACTGCAGATCACTGTTTTGCACAGTCTCTCTAGTGGATATGATAGTCATTCTCACATCCGCCAAGTTTTGTTGTCCCACCTTTTGTGGAACATCTTAAATTCGATTTTGGGAAAACATATCAGTTTTTCTTGACTTCAGTAAAGGTTAAGAATTGCATAGAAGCATCAAAGCCAGAGAGACTTCAAAGCCAATCTCAATCATCAGTTATATACATTCTGAGACGCCATCCGGCGTGGAGGGCGCTATATAAATTCAAGTTGTTGTTGTATACAACAACGCAGCATACCTCAGCACTTGGAATGTCAGCCTAGAATATGAGCTCCAAATTGCCAGTGCGATGCTTGAACCCACAACCTTCTTACTTAGAGGCACAAGTGCTACGAACTGAACTATGCTGACACCAACACAATTGCATCTGTTAACCAAATATTGCTGTCTACATCTAAATATTATGAATACAGGATTACTCAGACATATCCAAATGTTTTTCATTGAGATCAGCGAGAAACGGGTTTGATTCCTGGCAGGGCAAAACCTTGGGCAACTTTCCTTACTCCACATGCCTGATAATAATTCCTCAAGAAAATTTAAAAAATAATAATTTATTCACTCAATCCACAACTGTTTGTGGGACACTGACTGCTGTGCGCAATTGGCTGCCGCTTTTCGCCCACAAATATACAGTCAATTCACTTTACACTATATTCTGTGAAGCGCTTTGAGACATCCTGAAGACGTGAAAAACGCTATATCAAATGCAAGGATTATTATTATTATCATAGCTGCCCACCTCAGTTTTATTTTCCTTCAGTCTGATTCACTTGGATGTGGAGGTTGAACAAATGGGAAGAATATTAGATGGACCTATCGTTGGTATGATATTTATCATTTTTGTATGTGGATGTTAAACTACACTTGAAGTTCCCATCCTTCTCATTTCTCTCTCTGATCTGGAAACCTTGGAGTCTATTTTGTGAGTATGCAAACTTGCCTCATTGCATTAACTGCTGCCACCTTCAGAAATACTGAGGTGTATGAAATTGAGGCCTATGTGCATTGGTGTCTGGGAGGAACCAAATGCTCACATGGTTACTGCTGGTCATCAGACTCTTAATAACTCCCTAGTGTTTGGATAGCAAACATTTTGTTCGTATGTAGAGTTTAAGCTTCATCCAAAGAATATGAAGGCATACCTACGGTAGGTAATGAACATTTTAATTTGTAAAAGCCTTGGGTACAATTGTACGATTTAGGCAGCCTGCTATATAATTGCTGATTGTGACTTTTGCGCAAAGTGTAAAAGCATCGCATAATAGTTTATTGTAATAAATTTTTTTCCACAGCTGATTAATGCAATTTATTCTATTTTGCATATTATAAGGATTTTTACTGACCGTGAGAGAAGTATCATTTAAACAGACGCCATTTGTATGAAGGAATTTTCAAAGAAAACCTAGTGTTCTGAGTGGGGTCTCTGTACAAATTGGTTTAGCAGACATTTTGAAACTGTAGTGTTGGCTTCTGTGTTGCTCTGATCTGCTGTTTTCTTTCAGATCGAGAAAGACTTGAACTTGGCTGGCTTTGGAAAACACGTGAAGTGCAGGGTGCAAAACACAATAGTAGGACTTGAACCTTAAGCCTTTCTCCCACGTAAAGCTTAGCATTTAGGTATTTAAAAAGCACGCACATTTGAAAGTTGGGAAATGTGGGAAAGCAGAATGATGTCATTGTCCAATGGCTGGACTGGGCAGCAGGGGAGGGACGGAGAGAAGTCCTTAACCCTTTCTTTTGCATATATATATATAATATATACATAATATATATATATGTGTGTGTGTGTTAGGCTTGGGGGAAGTTGCTATGGAAATGGTTAAAAATTCTCTGGTTAACTAATTTGAGAATGTTCAAGAGAAAAGGATCTAACTCAAACTATAATAGTTTAACCCTCTTTCCATTCGTTATTAAAACTATAAATGGTACAAAAGTAAAGAAACTAATCCCAAATAAATAGTTTGGATTGAAAGGTTGGTTGCTTTGTTATTTTGTTATATATTTCACAAAGCAGCAAAGGTGTTTGTTTTTTCCTTGTAATTGTTGATGGTGAAAATTGGCAGTGGAGGCCTAGAAAATATCCTAGGCTCTCAAATACTTTCCAAACAATTCTCCACTATCTCCTTTCCATCACTAGTTCATTCACACAGAAATATCCTTGTATAACATTCCACCTGTTAGGCAGCAGGATTGGAGAGGAGGGTAGATTCCATGGTGTTTTGCAGAAATGCAAAAAGAATCTGAAGAGTTTTGCATGTTCTTCAAATAATGATTGTTGCTTTCTTTCGGGAGAGTACATGGTGATCATTGATGCACATAAATTCAAATTATGGTGCTGCACAGAACGTAGGTCACCTAGTGAAAGATTTTTTTAAAAACAATTTAAAGGAATGGCTGAAATTCTTACACTTAGTTTCCTCCAGTAAGTTTTTTTTAAGCAAGTTAATAAATTATAGTTTTTATCTTTCTATAAAATACAGGTTTAATTGTATAAAATGTCAGTATTTGAAATTGTCATTTTTATTTAAAAACATCTGGATGAATATAGAGATTTAAGTTTCTAATATATCATTGATATTATCATTTTAATTGGGCTTATTTCACTTCTTGCAAATAAAATGTTTGAAGTCTTAATTTTAAAAACCCTCCTATTCTATTTCTAGTTAGTTTCCTTGATTACTGTCAGTAGCAGTTACTTGTTTAATATACAGTAAATTCACAATCAATTCACTTTACAGTATATTCTGTGAAGCGCTTTGAGGCGTCTCGAAGACGCGATAAGGCGCTATATCAAATACAAGGATTATTATATTATTATTTCTGTAACATTGTCTGCTTTCACATGGCTAAAAAACTCTAGCAGTTTAAATTTCACATTGAAATTTACTTTTTTTTGCGAATAGAATGATAAAAATGAATTGGTTCTTGGAACCGGATACTGGAGAAGTATATTTGTTAAAAAAAAAGTTGCTTGGAACCAGTTTTCCATTGACCTTTGATTAGCCAAAGGTTATTGAAACACAAAATACAATTGATACTGCTCAACAGACAGAAACATTTTAAAATCTTGATTCTCCTCAAGATAAAATATTTTAGTCAGCTGTACAAAAGTTGTTTCACTGCAAATGAAACATGACTCCTCTGGTCCACCATTTGGTGGATTGTTAATCATTGAATGGAAGAAGGTTAAACATCTGAATTGGGCTACACTAAGAATCAATGCCTACAAATGTTAATTATTTCAAAGAAATCAAGCTTTGAAATGGTCCATTGTTTTGCTTAGAATTTGTGGGGCCTTGAACCTTCTTCTTTTTGTTGCCTTGTTCCCTAATTTATGTTAATTAGATCATTATGAACCTGGGTCATTTTGGAAGCCATCTAATTCCCACCAGTGACCAAAACTCTTCTTTTAACTTCTGAAGACATCATCATTTTCACTTCGATGCCAGGGCTCAAGTAGCATGCATTTGTCCAAAAGAAGAAACTTATACGACCTACCCAATGTTAATCAAAACTGACTGTGTCAGCCTTCCTCCATGTTGACACATTGGGGAACAGTCCTGGTATTGTAAAAAATGCCCCATATCTACTTGAAAGAAGCTGAAGGTTTTTAGACCCAGGACACTGGTTAAGCATGAGAAATAGTTGCACACAATGCACACAAAACTAGTTTGGCTTGATTGCATATACAAATGTTCTGCCTTTGTTTAATACATTGAGATTATGCTAGAAAGCTTTTAAATTAGGGATGTCTTGATATCTATATTTATGACTATAAACACAACAATTGCCATGCCACCTTTTTCATCCTAATAATTATTTGCCTCAATAGCAATGTTAATCATGACGTATCAGTAAAAACCCATTTGCTAGGACTAATATTTTCAGAAAAAGTTCAATATTGTGATTCATGAAATAATTGTTCAATGAACCTTTATGGCTTATCATTAGTAGTATTCCTCAGTATTGTGAATCTGTGATTTTAATATGAATATCAGAATATTAACAAATCATATCATGACATCCCTATTAAATTGCATTGCCACATGCCATTCTTGGTCCAGTCAAACTGAAGGCTGCCTGTATCAGCAAATTTTATGTCTGCGTTATTTTATACACAACACTCTTTTGATATGAAACCCCTTTTGTGGTCCATAGTATAGGTAATAGGCTGCTATTGGCTACATTCTTTTACAAAGCCTCAAAATAGGTTTGATTATTCGGTCACTTCAGCTGCTGGCTAATGTTTCCTACCAAATTCTTGAAATTAGTAGTGTGTTGGGGAGTAGGAAATCAGCTAGTAATTTTTGAGATTCCTCATTGATGGAGGGGGAAAAACGTCCACATTGAAATGTAATGCCTGTCCACAACATTTCCACATTTAGGTAGACCAAGTTCCTTTATTCCTGACAGACTGTAATTCCCATTTTATACTGAGGAATGGATTGTTGGCAGTTTAGCACTTTATATTCAGTTTCTTTCCTCTATTAACCCCCTCCCCCCTTTCCCTCGCTAGAGATGTTGTAGAAGTAGCTGCTATGATTGTCATTACACGTATCTAATTGATTGTGTTTTTGGTCTTAGGTGTTTTCCAGTATGCTAAGAAGTTGTTTCTTAGTGAGCAGGCAGGCCGGGTCCAACTTCAAGAATTTGCACGCAAGAATGCAGCCAATGCTCTTTCCCTTACAAACCTGGTGATGGGATTGTCTTCTATTTTGTGTAGTTTAAATGGGTAAGTACTTTAAGCACCTGGTTAAACCTCAATACTACTTGTGGTTAGTCATTCGGATTATTTGCAAGTTCAGGCAATGGACAAGCATATTTTAAAGTTGATATATAACTACCAGAGGATGGTAGTACAGTTCCAGTGTTACAAGAGATGGAGCTGTTCATGATCTGAAACATGCATCACAAGTTGAGTGGAATAGCTCTGTTAGTTGAGTGGAATTTGTTCTCACTTTTTCAACCTCCAAATACAAAAATATTTGTCAACAAGGCTATGGTATATGCTATGCATAAGAGTTCATTTTCTATTGCTCATCTGTTTATTCTTTCCCATTGTCACTGACTATTGGTATCATATACAATATTCATCATCAGCATCCATTTTAATACTTAGATAAAATCAATTTGTAATAAGTGTCATATTTCTATTAAGTTTGTTCATTTGGTTGAGTACAGAAGATGAAAGCAGAAAATTCTAATCTCTGCTCTTTGAGTCAAATAAAATGTTTAAAAACATTCTTCTGGGGAGTAAACAAGGTTTCCTGGGATAGAACTGGCAAATATAAACATATTCACAACCCTGTGAGATAAAGCATGTGGTATCTTAATGGGTAGTGTGGTATTTAGAGTGCAGTTTACATTTAGATAGCACCTTTCACCTCAGGTGCAAGTCTCAAAGCGCAATGAAAAAGTGGTGTGTTGCAACATTACTAATATATGTTGTCATTCAAATGTCTGTATAGTCAAATGAGTTTCAAGAACTGTATTGACTTCACGCCAGTTTCCCAGCCTTTGAGGCTCAAACAATCATCTCCAAACTGAGACAAGTTACAACTAGCCAGACTACTATTCATGTGGAACACAGGTCATTATGTCTAAATGGCCAAAATATTGGTTTGAAATTTGGAAGGTTATACACTTATACACTAGGTGTAAACCCTAGCTAGCGGGACGAATGGAGGGCGGCCAACCATAATTTCCGGCTAAGTGTAGTTACAATGCTAGTACCAGCGTGGGTGTTGTAATTGAATCCCGCGAGCAGAAGATGGCGAATAAACTGCTTTCTGCTCATGTGACTCAAACAACCTGAGTGAAAATCAATATCGGTGGCCACTGTGAAGGCCAGTGAGGACGGTGAGGCGGTAATCCAGGTACATGATAGATGTGGTTCAGTACAGAGAAGTGTTGAAGTAAGTATAGACTCGTGGAATAAGTAACCAGAGAAAGACACTGAAGCAAACCTGCACATGGGTTCAAAAGGTAAGGGTGTTTCAATTTCCACTGGGTAATGTGAGCCAAATGCCATTGTGGGAGAATTGTGTTCTAGCACTGCCTAGCTCACAGTGCTGATGTCCTGGAGTTCTGTGCCAACAGAAAGTTTGGTATATCCGGCTTTCAGCGCCAAATTAGTTTATGCCACTTTCTCCACAATGTATACTTTCTGCACAATATGCATTTTTTGCACAGCACACAGGAAGTGACATCAACGGTTTAATTGAAAAATCCATAGTGCTTGCAAGAAATTTGAATAATTCATCTTTCCACTCAATATCCACCACACCTGAGGGATTAAGCTGAGTGCAGATGTTTGTTAAAACTTGGTGTAATTCCTGAGGTGTGTGGAGTTTGCCTTTATCTTGAAGTATTGAAGATAACAAGGTAAGTCATGTTTTTTAAAGCACAGTGCAAATTCATAATATGTGAATTTTTGTGTTGTGACATCTCTTTAAGATACTTTGTCCTTTCCTTGACTCCCTTTGCCACATTACAATTCCCAATTAAGAAGGTAGTAAACTTCCTCAGCCTTTATCAAGCTCATTTGTCATGAGCTTCAAAGAGTTATCTAAGGTGACTTGCCTTTTCTTTACCTCTTCCTATAGATAATTGATTAACCTCTCAAGTTTCTCTCCCCTCACCAACCACCCTGTCTCAGCAATTTAAAAGGGACATTATAAAAGATTAAGAGATATAGAGAAAGTAGATGTGAGAGTTAGATTGAAAGGCATCTTTAAAGGACTGGATAGTAGGATCTGTTGACAAATGGATGCAGGGTTAAATTGAATGAATAGAAGAGTGCTGCATACTCAATGTCATGATGGTCTGTGATGCAGAGACAAGTTGTAGGTGAAGTGTGGAGGATAGATATTTTAGTCCTTTGCTGTGCCTTTGGGTTCAGAAAGAGAATAGAAACCTTCAGTTAGAAGGTCTAATGAGTTGTCTTAAGAAACCATTGGTAGACAGTTGTCCATGGATAAAAGGTAGGCTGAAAGTTTGCCAGCCCTCCAAAATTTAATTAAGCAAGAGAACAAATACAGAGAAGGGAAAACTATATGAAACCAGGTGGGTCCAACCTTTTATTTACTGTGGGCCACATTCCCTATTTGAGAAATGTCCGTGGGCCACATAAGCAATATTTTTGTGTTTCCCTTCCAGAAACATAAGATTTACACAGTGCCTTTTTCACATCGGAAGGATATCTCAAATCACTGCCAGCTGGGCACCTGAGCTGAGAGTGGAAGCCAAGGGAGGTGGGAGGGGAAAAGATGACTAAAAGATGGTCAAAGAGTTAGGTCTTGACATGTCTTGAAAGAGAGGATGGAGGGAGACAGTTGGAGAGAATCTGGGAATGGAGCTCCAGACAGCGGGAGGCAAAATGGCAATGGTGGGCAGATGGGGTGGGAGGACATGAAGCAAGCTGGTGTTTGCTAGGCAAATACAACGGTCCGGTCATGGGTCGCAGAGGTAGGGTGGGGAGAGGGAGAAGAAGGAAGTAGATGGGTTTCTCACTGTGGAAAGAGGGAGCTTTCTGTGAGGAAACTGCACGGCATGTCGCTTGGTGTTTCTCCTCAAACTGCCCCCCCCACACAGCAGCCGAGGGAGGCCCTGATCCTCTGTTCTGACAGTGAACTACAAAGCTCACCTCTTTCTCCCCGCGCTCTCTCGCTAAAGTTACTGTCTCTCCGCTTCTCCCTCATGCTCTCTCTCTCTCTCTCTCTAAACCTAACACATACTCTTGCACACACTTTCCCTCTCTCGCAATTACTCTCATTCCCCCTCTCAGTTGCTCTCTCACTGCCCCTCTCTCTCTCACACTCTCCCCTCTCATTCTCTCACACGCTATTTCCCTCATTCACGCTCTCTCATACACACTCTCAATCACTCTCTCTTCCCCCCCCTCTCTCTATCCTTTTCTCCTCTATCTCAATCACTCTCTCACTCTGCTTCTCACACACTCTCACTCACACCTCTCACTCACTCTGTCTCTCTCCTGTCTCACACTCTCTATCTCTCGTTCACTTTTTCTCTTCCCGCCCCTCTTCACTCTCTCTCTGTTTTCCCCCTCTCTTTTTCTCTCAATCAGCCGTGCAGCTCTGGCAGTGGGATGCTCTCCCTGCTACGTGACAGACTGCAGTAATGGCTGGTATTAGTTCCCCCCCCCGTCCCATCCTCCCAACCTTCGGCTCCTACTGCTGCCATGAGATGACGTTCGCCAAGTGGGAGAGGAAGCAGGCGGCCCGAATTTGGAAATGGTCTTGTGCCGGATGTAATCGTCCGACAGGCCGGATGCGGCTCGCAGCCAATGCTGTTTTAAACCGAGAACATAGAATGTCCTACCTGGAACTGTGGTTGAAGCAGAATCCATATTAGCTTTCAAGAGGGAATTAGATAAATATATGAAAAGTAGAAACATAAAAGGGTATGGGGAAAAGGCAGGAGAATGGGATAGATATTTCAAAGAATCAGCCAGCAAAGGCAAGATCATCTCCTGCGCTGTAAATTTCTATGGTTCTAATATCTCACTCATTGGAAAAACATGCCTCAAAATCAACATCTTTGGTAAAATGACAACCCAAATTTCCTACTCCTATCTCTAAAACTCCCAATTTTCAGCCTTAAAAACAGGGAAAGCCCAATTTTTTTACTTGTAAGAAATATTTTTAAAGCGGTTAAATTATGTTAGCCTTCCATTTAACAACTCTATTACTCTGCAGGCACCACTACTATGCATGCTGGCTTCTCCTTGTTGGGTTTCTCCTTGATCTGGCTGATGGAGCTGTTGCTCGGCGACTTAATGCGTGTTCTGCTCTTGGTAAGTTTGTCTTATCTGTAGCTTAGACTTTTAGATTGTTTCAGGTGGAACAACCCAACAGCAAAGTAACATAATGTGTACGTTTTTATTTTTTACCATAACTATATTTTTCTGGATATTCGTTGCTAATTTAAATTTTTTTATAATTTAACTTTAATGCTTCATAAAAGAAATACACTTTATTTTAAATACACTGTGGTTGCTTCAGGTGAAAGCAAAGTCTGCAATCCAGACATGTTTAAGATCAAAGCTAATGCATAAAAGTATGCAAACCAAGATTTCTGAGTAAGTCAAGGTATTTAAACTGAAAACAAAATTCAATAGATGTTGTCAGTGAGTCAACTGTACTGAGGATCTTAAGTTTCATACTGTTTATACGGCATCCTACATCTGCCTCACTGTATGCACTGTACACTCTCTGGAGCGATGGCAACATCAATGATGGTAAGTTCCATGCCATTTCCTCCAAATGTGTCTTCTATTCAGACTGTGGGCACTGTATGTTTTTCTTCCTTTACATTCTACGCCTCCTCTTCTAAGGCATTTCCTCCATACAGGATTCTTCAGTGAGGAAGATCTACAAATTAGACTGTAGAGTTTGCATAATTAGCACTGCTACTATTTTTAATCAATTGACTGATGAAATACTCGTAGTGTTTTGAGAACTGCTTCCATTTTATCTTTATCTTCCCGTTCCCTTCCAAAGAAAAACATTTAACATTATATCAGAATTTCAAGTAAGTGCAAGTGATAGGTAACATGAGATTTGAAATGTAATCATCCACTGAGAGACCAGCAAATTCCCTCAGATTTCTTTCTAAGTTGACTCTTTCATATTGCCCCCGCTCTCTTTCTTTCAATCAGCCGCGCAGCTCACTATCAGGCAGCGGGAACAGCCACTCTCCCAACCATGTGGGGTGGTTCACTATCTGGCAGTGGCAAGAGCCAGCCGTTGGAAGGACGCAATTGGTAAGGAGACCCGCTTGCTTTCCCATCAGCTCGAGAGGGACTTCCTGACACACTGCGGCAACAGGAAGCATTATTTCCACTTTGAGCTGCTGTAATCCGAGGATGGTTTGCCGGAAAGGGAGGGAGGGAACTAGTGGCCCGAAGTTAGAAATGATTCGTGGGCCTGTTATCATCCCACAAGCCAGGTGTGATCCGCGGGCTACCAGTTGGACCACCCTGGTCTATTCTGACACTTTATACAAATCTGCTGAGGAGTATTGCATTGTTGGAGGTGCCTTCAGATTTGACATTAAACCAAGGTTCTGTCTGCCTGTTCAGGTGGGTCTTAAATATTAATCAAAAGGGAAGAAAGAGTTTCTACTGCTGTCCTTGCCAAAAATCCCCCAACATAAAATCGGTTATTCATTTCATGGCTGCTGTGGGAGATTGTTGTGCCCAAATTGGCTGCTGCGTTCACCCAAAAATACATTCACTACAGTATAGTTTACGATCAGTTTTGAGACATCCTTCTGACATGAAAGGTGTCTTTCACGGTCTATATCAAATGGAAGGATTTTTAGTTTCTCCTCTAGTAAATGGGTGCAGATCATGCTGTGGAAATCTGTTCATATGCTGTCATTAATCTGAACTGACTTCAGGTGTGACTATACAGATACAGTACTGTGGTGTAACTGCGATGACCCAAAAACACCACAAGTAAAGTTGCAGAATTGAAGGTAATTCGAATGTAATGAGGAATTCTATTAATAAAGAACAAAATTATAAACCGTTTTGTTAACATTCAAAGGTTCTACAACTCATCCCTTTGAATTAGATTTGAGCAATATGGAGCATATCTGAAATTGTTGAAATCTGACTCCTTTATAGAGGAATTTATTGTTAAGCCTTATGCATTTCTATTCCTCTCATTGGTTAAACCGTTGTCCAAATGAATAATTCGGATGGGAATTTATTTCAAAAAATTATAAGCTTGGTACATCCAAAGGTGTCAGCATGGCTCATCGGTAGCACTCTCACCTCTGACAGAAAGTTGAGGACTTTGAACTCACAGTCTAGGCTGACACTCCAGTATAGTGCTACATTTTTGGAGGTGCCATCCTTCAGATTAGACTTTAAAATCGAGCTCCAGTATGCCTGTTCAGACGGACATTAAAGATCATTTCGCACTATATAACGGAGTTTCCAATGGTGTCCTGGTACCAACAATTCCCCAGATAAAATTGTGATTGACTTCATAACTGTTGCTAGATATTGCTTTGCGACATTTGGCTGTTGCATTTGCCTGCAAAATACACAGTCACTAAACACTGCACTTAACATTATATCCTTTGATGAGCTTTGAGATCCCAGCTCAGGTCTGAAATTCTGTACTCTGTCCAGCGCCTTGGGACATCCTCCCGACGTGAAAGGCGCTATACAAATGTAATCTTGTTGTTGATGAGATGATCTTCTATTGTCAATTGCAAGGATTATTATGTCCTTGAATTGTAAAAAAACAACTGAGAGGTATTCCGAATAGCCAATAACATAAACATCAATGTTACCAACACCATACTTTAAAACAAATTGCATTTAGATATCACCTTTCATGTCAGGAGGAAATCCCAAGGCTTTGGACGGTCATGGGTTTGCACCCGAGCTGGGAGTGGATTTGGGAGGGTGGGCACCAAAGGGGCATGGGGGGTCGGAAGATGCCTGAAGAAGAAGGTCTTGAGAAGGACCTTGAAGGAGGCAAGGAAAAGGGTGAGGTGAAGGAACTTGGGAATAGAGTGCAAGAGAGTGGGGGTAAAAAGGCTGAAGGTTCGACTGCCGATAAATAATAATAATTTATAGAGCAGATGAAAATGGTACAATTAAAATTCAGATGTGACTTCAGTTTGAGAGCATGTTGAGCTTTCTAGAGTTACTAATTTCTAAGATCACAAAGCATGAGACAAGAACGGGCAATTTAGCTGAGCAAACTTGTTTTGTTCTCATATCATGGATTCTATTCCATAAATTCGGTCAGTCCTTTTAAGCAATGCAACCAATCACAAATAAATCCATGGGGGTAGTCAAGCAAAATTCCAGAATATTAATGTCGCCTTGCAACCAATATTTATAGTCCTCAAGTAACTCATACATAGCTTCCAGCAGTGCATGAATTACCTTGTGAATATATTTGATCATCTTTATTTATCTTTATCCTTTCAATCACATTCTTAAACTGATATTTCACCAGCTCTCATTTTTCAAAGGCTTTGATTGCTCTAGCATTAACTGTTTTTGCTTGGAATCTATTTCAAGGATCCAGTGCTATATGGAGGGGAAACATTTCTTATCTCTCACTTAAGGCATGCTAATTTTACACTCATATCCTATAGTTCTAGAGCTGGATGAATATCTGGTTAGGAACAAGATTGAGGGGTACAAGGATAAGTACAAATAGAGACGATCGAATGCTGTTTGCAACGTGATGGTTCCTGACCTACTGGACCATGGGAATGTCATGTCAAGGTAGGCAACTAGTCAACGATGTAGGATGTAAATATCCTGGAGCTTTGCTTAATTTTACCTTTGGTGAAAAGGAAGTACATTTTCTCGGGAAATTGGGCAGGTATTTGCTCTGTATAAATTGTCCATGTTGTTTGAAAGTATCGGCTTGGTGAACTAAGATGGCCATTTCTTGTTCCATCTTATTCTGCATAAAGCTGTGAACAAAATCATCTTCCCCGAATGCTTTGTGTCAAATTGTGTACGAAGTTCATCAGCACACAAAAACAGGATGTGCGTTGTCACAAACAAAAAAAAATTATCTGTTCTGTGCAAAGTGTAAAATATTTCTAATTAATAACATTTTCTTCCAGAATTGTTAAAGTGTCAAGCGATGAACACAGTGCCCTCTTCTTCAGTGCTTGCTAGCACTTTTCTCACTCTCTCATTCTCCTTTATTTTCACACTCCTTTAAAGCTGTCTACTTTTAACCAGAATGATATATAAATAGCATACTGTAGTGCAAATATTAATTTTCTTGGTAAAATGTCAAATTCACAATGATAGTTTAGAAGACCACAATGAAATTACTCTAGGAGTTTCTGTGTATGATGGATATGTGTATGTGTGTATAACGCTATGTTAATTATCTTGGCTATGTCACACTTCTAATTTAGATTCCCTAACAGTCACATGGTCCTCTTCAACGGTGGATTCATTTGGCCTGCCCCATATATTCCTCATCCTTTACGTGGTACTCACTGTTTTTTCCTTTCATCCATTACCAACATCTGTGCGCATCTGAAATTTACAACAAAGCTTACTTCTCCAGATTTTGTTAGCTAAATTTGTTCAGTAGTTAAACTTGCCAAATTATTTTCTTCAGAACCCATCCTAACAGTCCTCACCCGAATGTATACAATATAAATACTAGAGTCTTAAAAACATGGTCAAAACGATTATTACTGGTTGATGAATATGTTTGCAATAAAGTGAAAATCATGTGCGTTCTGGCTAAAGGCTCTTTCAGAGCACAAATGTTCATTGCAGCAGTTACTTTATTTAGCCTCACACGTGGTTCAGTATGCAGAACATACCCTTCATTCAAAGAATGCTGACTGCTGTGCTAAGAACCGTGTACAACAGAAATAAATTGCATCTATGTAGCACCCCTCATGCAGGTTAGCATCTCGGAGCGTGTAACAGTGGTGGAGCCTGATAACGAGCCGGGGGGAGGAAGGAGATGACCATAAACACAGTCGAAGAGGAAGGTCTTCAAGCATGATCTGAAAAAGGAGAGGAGGGGGCAAGGCAGAGAGATTGAAGGAGAGAGTTCCGTCGTTTCAGGGCATAGAGACTGAAAGCATAGCCGCCAATGGTGAAACGGATGAGGGCAAGCAAGAGGCCAGAGGTGGTGGGTTGGGGATTAAGGTTGAGAGGTAGGGAAGTGCCAGAGCCTGAAGGGCTTTGTAGACAAGTGTGAGAATCTTGAAGTCGATCCATTCTGTGATAGGGAGCCAGTGAAGCTTGATGAGGACTGGTGTGATTATACAGGTGTTATCTACCTACTGTCACAAATTCCAGATGTTTCAGTTTGCCGTATTTCTAATGTCGTGCTCGGACCATTGGCAGTCACATGTTTGATAGCTGATTTCTAGAAGACAAGTAATGTATTTGTTTAAATGCAGCACTGTAGTTTTATTCCAAGATGATTTCTTCTGTTTTTACATCAGATGTACACAAGGCTTAAAAACAGAAATTGTTCTTGAGTGGAATGGTTTGCATTTGGCCAAGGAGGCTCTAAAGATTTGTTTAATGAGCATTGTGGCAGTTCATACTATGTACTACAAGTTCAACATATTGTCTGTAATTTCATTTTCTTTAATGTATTCAGCCACTTCTGTTTCTATTGAGCTTCAGTAGTTTCTAATAAATGGAATTTTACCAATAGTTATTTTTATTGCAGGAGCCAAATTGGACGATTTTGCAGATTTCACAACATTTGGAATTGGAACCTCTCTGTTACTCCAAGCCCACGGTATACTGGACAGTCTCCTTGTCATCTGCTATGTGATGTCAGTGTTTGCACGTCTCTGCTTCTTTTCTAGTGGTAAGAATTCACTTACTTTGTACTCTATTGAATTCACAAGGCTGTGGGATATTTCGTACTATTACAATTGTATATCACTTACTCAAAATACAACCGAGAGCATTGGGAAGATGTCCTGCTTTGCCGCTGTGAAAGCTTAGGCGCCAGAAAGCTATTTGACATAATGGATATCAGTCCCCAAGTCTGGGAAGTTCTCAGCCACAGTCCAGCGAGGAAGCACCGAAGTAAAGCAGCACATCAAGATCAGAAGATTGTGATTGTGAAACCCTATGTTGAGATTTTGAACTCACAGTCGAGGCTGACACTTTAATGCAGTGCTGGGAGTGTGCTGCATTGTTGGAGGTTCTATCCTTCGGATGAGGTGTTAAACTGAGGTCCAAGCTGCCTGTTCAGGTTGGATGTTAAGGGATCCATCGCATTTTTTGAAAAGAGGAGGGAGTTTCTTGCCAGTGCCCTGTGCGCAATTTGTTTGTTTGCCACTTCGCCGACAAGTTCACAGTTGCTGAAGTAAATAAAGCCTGTGAAGCACTTTGAGATTATTATTTCAACCAACTGGATTACGTTTCCAGTGGTGTAAAGGTGGGTTTTAATTAACATTGAACTGTTAGGAGGATGGGGGGAGTCACGGACGGACATGTTGTTATTGTTATTAGAGTAATTTTGATGTATTTTCTAAAATTATATAAGTTTTTCAATGCACTATAATTACCATTTTGCACTTTTCCCCAAACATAACTATGAAAATACAGGGGCGTCTTACCGTTAAGGGAACAATATGGTCTTTCTAAGCTCTGACTTTGCCTTCTAACACACTTTCATGTTGCTACTTGAAAAATTTGAGGCCATTGTGGGAGCAATGGTCTTGTGTCTGTTGCTAATTTCTATGAGGTAAAATACCAGGCCTGTTTTTTAAAAAAAATATATACTTTTTTTACCATTAGTTGTTCATTATGTCCACTGTCATAGAAATACATACTATTCAGTATATACTATACCACCATTACCACCTGTTAGCACTACCTTTCTGTGCTCTTTGTTTTAGGTATCCCATTTGTGTACCGTGGATTACCTTGCCCCTACGCTTCAGCTATCCTGGCCTGCACCTCTCTGCTGACTGAAGGCAATCGCTTCATTCTGCACACCACTGCAGTGGTGATGATACTTTTCATGACCGACCAGGGCAACTACCCCCATGACAAGGTTTTGGAGTCACAAATTTGGAAAAAAATAGTTTATGCTGGAGGTGGGTAGGACTGTCCAGTATCAATCATCAAGTTATGTTTGTGCAGAAGGTTTGCATTTTTAGTACTTTTGAAAGGAGTTAGGAAAATGAGGGTTGTGTCTGTGTTTATAATAATCATAATAAAAAGCAGATGCTTGGGGTTTGCCTTGACAGGCACCCCTGCATAATACCGTGTCAGGTCCCCTGACTGCATATTATCACTCCCTGCATAATATCTTGCGAGACAGTTTTTTTCTGCATAATAGGTGTTAATCTGACAGGACTCTTCCCCTCTGAGTCAGAAGGTTGTGGGTTCAAACCCCATATCGGAACTTTGATCTCAGATAATCTCGGGTGAAACTCCAGTGCAGTGGGGTGGGACGTTAAAATTATGTCCTGTCCTTTCAATCGACATTAAAGATCCGATGGCGCTTATTGAAAAGAGAAAGGAATTTCTCCCAGTGTCCTGGCCAACAATTCCCCAGATATAATTGTTCATTAGTCAGTGGCTTGTAGTGGCCACACATTCATAGTAATGTCGCTTTTGATCATTCAATGTCAGCTCTTCCTCTCATTGTGAAGCAGAATTGACCCAAGTGTTGGATTGAGATGTGTTGCAATAGTAATCCCAACATTGTCAGTAAGGTAAAAGCTAACTTGTCTCACAAGCTATGAACCAATTCATGTTCCCTTTTAGTGGGTGCAGAATCCCACACTTCGTAAATTCCACCAACAATGATAGAAAGAACCGACATCGAAGGAACAAAAAGTGATGTCGGTATGAATGCTTGGTCACCACAAGCCATTTAGTAGCGATGGAATTGTTTTTGTTCACTCCTGACAATTTGTACGATATTTTGCTGTGCACAGATTGGCTGTGATGTTTGCCTGCAAATTACAGTCACTAATGTTCACTATAAAATCTTGTGGTGTTCTGACGTAAAAGGCCTTATATCAAAAGGGAAGAATAGATAGAATAACACGCCAGGCACTCCTGCATAATTCTCAAGCAAGACAAATACAGATACAACCAGACACAACTCTAGCGAGGGTTCACTAATTTGTTCTGACATTATAGCAAAGAAGGCACTGTTTTGTCATTGTATGAAATGATTAAAGAAAAGAGAAATCATAAATGACATGAATAGTAATTCATACAACATATATTTTATATGATATTAGTTGCCTTAATATTTTATTGGTGACTGCAGGAAAAAGGTTAAAAGCTTTAAAATCACAAAGGTGCTCTTTAAAATTGCAGGAAAAATACCTTTTCAACATTTAATCGTTTAATTTTTAAAATTAGCATTGTTTGATGACTAGAAACATATAAGCTCTATTGAAATGGATTTAATTTTGAACATTTTTTCTATTCTCTGTTTGCCAGGTCTGCTGATGCTTTTTTGCTGTCCATTCTCGTTGGCTTGCACGTACTATCTCGTTTGGTGTTTCTCCTATACTCTCTTCCCAGCTGCTCTGTGGAGCTACGAGGTTTAAAGCAAGGCTTCATCCCTTCCCCTCACAGGGAAAGGCTGGCAGCAACAGTTCAGCCACCAGAGTTCAAGTGTGATTTCTTTATTGAATAACAAAAAGGCAGTCTCGCGCATGAAACTGTAGATCAATTGACCCTTTTGACCTAGCAAATGGGCTGATATAGTCTCCTTTTTGTTCAATTTTTCTGAAAGTTATAGAGGTACCTTTTTATTTTTTTAATTATTTTATGTTGCATTATGTTATAGTTTTCCTAGTGACATGTTTCCGAAGGGAGCAATCATAGTTACATGGTTTTAGTGTATAAATTGTTTTTCCCCCCATCACTTGCCCCATTAAAGTTAACAGGTGCAGAACATATTATTCCCTTAACCCTTTCAATAGTGAATTCCTGGGGATAGAATTCCTGTACTTAAAGAGTTCATTAAAGGTTTAAGCACTTTTTTTAGAATATTCAGAAAAGTATTAATAATGCATTCAAAAAGTATTCATGTGTATCAGTTTCAAACTAGTCTTGTTAATAAGGTGAAACAAGCTCTTCTATTCAGTTCCTGATGGGGAGAATTGTGCAAATGCTGCCCCTTTGAATCGTTTTGACAATGGCCCTTGAATCTCCCATCCCATTCCTTATGGTGCCCTTATGGTGATCATTTATTTATCACTGCCTCTTGATACCGTTTTGCAGCTCACCTCAATGGTGGGCAGTCACCTTCAGGTTGACTGGCAGTTTTTCAACTTCACTCGATGTTTCATCCATCAAGGCAATTAAAGGAATGTCTTCTGGATTTGAGCACTGTAATTAGCCCATAGTGTCTTCTCTACCCTCAACAACAACATAGCCGCCCTTATTTCACTAGAATGAAAGGATAATTGGATGTGATGGGAACATGCTGTGCATCAGAAAATGTTTTGGAGTTATTAATGTGGTAAACCTGACTAATGTGTTTTACCACTACATGTAATTGCAGTGACAAAGTAATATCAATATTAAGTAATTGTTATTCCAAGGCGTTGCCTTTGAAAAGTTCAAAATCCTGTTCTCTGAATTGCCTCACTGCCTGCTTGCAATGGATCTGGTGCCAACATCAAGACAACCAGGCATCTTTGAAAACTACAAGACCCTTGCATATGCCGTCAGTAATTTAGATTTACTTGAGCTTTTACTGCCATTGTGCACAGATTGTGCACCGGACACTTTGAAGCTTTTCTTAGGTATTTCTTTTAGTATCAAGACTCATGTTGATTCAAAGTCAGGTCAATGACTTGTCGGAATTCACACTGCCAAATATTACTCTCAATGCCAGGTCAAATGAAAGTAGACCTTGCTTAGGACCCACCTATGAGTATATGTCAGATGTTCAGCATGTATTGCTGCAGACAATTTGATGTTCTGTTTATCAGTGCCTCAGGAGCTTGTTGACTGCATTGGCCAGTTTATCCCACTTTTTGTATGTGTGATAACTTTTGTGTCACCCAAAACACTGATGCCAAACCCAGTGTAACAGTAACAGCATTAGGTGTAAACCATATGTGAATTTCCTGCATGCTGGACATTCTCAGATATCCCATCTGCTGAGCTATTCTTCAGGTGTATCCGTAGAGCAGGATGAAAGATCTCTTGTGGCAGTCAAAGCCTTTCTCACAATCATTTGATGAATTTATTACAAAAATAGGAAAGGTTCTGAATTTTCACGTAAGACATATTATGTGCACTGTTTAGAAGTTTCATCTCCGGTTACTTTGGAGAACTCCTTTTTGAATATTTCTAGATCCCCCAAACATGAGGTTTGGTTTTGGTAAGATTACCATAGAAGCTGGATCTTTTATACTACAGCCTGAATGCAGAATCAGTGCCTAGTACACCTCAGCTTGACAACTCAATACCTTTGGAAATTGCAAATGAATCTCTCGCCAGTATTTGTGACAGTGAGATATTACTTGATAACCAGGTGGAACTGATTCTGGAATGTTATATATAGAAAGCATCAGCAATAATGTGAAGGCCAGCCTTGGGTGCACTGTTACAATCACCAGAACGGCAGCTTTCAAACTGAACAGAGACTAATCCTGTGAAATATCACAGCAGCCAACTTGCTCACTTAAGACATCAGACAGAACTTTTTAATTTGAATCTTCCTTCACAGTGGTCTTTTTTGTCACTGTCCATTGGCTGCTGATGCCCTGAGTCAGGTGGTGTAAGCCCACCACAGATTTCAGGAAATGATTTAGAAATTAAAAATCACTTCCAAATGTGTCATTACTTAGAAAAGCAACTAAGCAACAATCTTCGAATCATATTCAATCTTTCTTGGAAATAAACTGTTTGGTTCACTATAAATTTTACACATCCTTTGTGCTTGAAAAGGCCTAGCATATGGTCACTATTTCTCATTTGGCCGAGGAAGTTTTCTCTTTATTTCATATAACTCTCACCAGAGACTTTTTTTGCTGGTGGGCTAAATGTGATATCTACCAGAAGAGAGTTTCCACTTGAGATCTTGGCTGTTACAAGGATCGGTTCCTCAGAAAATAAATTTATATCTGCTTTGTGAGTTTAATGGGTGGCAGGAAAACTTGCACTAGCATGGATTATAATATAAAGTCAAGTTGATTGCCAGTGGCATTGCTTGGGATCTTAACCTGACCTGTTTGAAACTGCACACATGAAATTACCCTCTAATTTGTATAACACGTAAAAGGAAATGGGAAGCTGAAGTGATGGTGTCACCCTATGTCATTTTTGTGAACTGAGAACAGATCGCTCCGAGGGAAGGGAGAGGGAGTGTGAGAGCTTGTGTCTGGAAACAGGCAATAATCTTCCTAGTACAGTTTGCGTTTGTAGTGGGTTTTGGTAACACAAACTGTATTGTTGAGTGAATAATACTTATCCACAGTATTAATACCTAATGTATGGGATTAAGAAAATACAGGATGAGGAGAGTGGGACACAATGGTGCTGACCACGACTGCTTCAGGATTCTGTATCTTTGTAACTAAAGATACCTCTGATGTCATCGCTAAACTACTACATCACTGAGACCAGAGAGTGTAATGACTCTGACTGATGCTGTATCTTGTAGCACAGCAAACATATTAGCTGTTCTATTGGCAGACAACGCCAGCGCCCACTTTGAACCATTTTAGTAAGATCTTAGTATTCAGGAAAACTGACAATTATCCATTTTCATTGTTCAAGTACAGTAGTTACTACCAAGGCTTCTGCAAGTCTTGGACCTACAGTGCAGGACCAACAATGTCATGAATATTGGTTATATAAATTACTTAATCATTGTACTAGATGTCACAGTTGATGTGTCTTCTATTCGTCTACTGGTGTTCACGGATTCTTTGCTTTAAAATGTCAACTTCCTCCTTAACTGCTGCACATCTAGTAAGTGATTAACATACAGCTGAATCCTGTTTTAGTGCACAGATATGCTACAGCGATGTGAGTTGCACATCATGATGTACTTTGTAATGTGTAACAGTGTTAACTCTGAAGTAGTTATTCCATCACTGGTTTACCATTTTGCTGTTGCAGTTAACATACATAACACCTTATTTTTTAGCTCAATACATGGATTTTTGCACCTTTTATTATTAGACAGAGTTCCTCAAATCCTATGCTGTACAGGGAGGGGGGGAGGGAACATTGCAAAGTATAGGATAGATACTACACCTTTGTGTTGTGCATTTAAAAGAATAGTTCTTGTATTTTTTGGAAACAAATGGTTCGTTTGAAGTGTTGACTGCTGTATAATATCCATTGCAGCAACCGTTGTGAATGTGGATTCTAAGTATATTTCATTTATAAATCAAGTTCTATCCTTTTCTCATTCTAAAGGTGCATTTGAACCCTATGGATAGTAAACATTTTGTGTGATGATTCTTTGAATATACCTGTTATGTAAAGGGTCCTTTCAGTTATTTGAACAGAAAGTACACAACATTTGGTTCACAGAATCTATTCCTAAAGGAAAAAAATATGGCAGAAGATAAGCACAGGACAATTTACTGTAAGGCCAGCTGCCTTTTTACAAATTGTAGTTTTGCACAAAAAATTGCACTTTGAATACTAAACCCAGGCAAACATGTTAACTCTATGAGCATTGAATCTGCATTGTGGGCACTGTGTGATCCATTAACGAATAATAGGTGTAGACAGTAATTGATAGATATAGGTTATATAGTATTTTTTTTTGAAGTTTGAAGTCAGTCTTCGCTCCAAATTTTTTTACCATGAATTTGGACTAGGAAGAGTGGGATAGAGAAAACTAGGTCCAGATTTCAGAACTAATCTAAATTAGTGTGATTGATTAGCACAATAATATGTGTGCTTATTTTATTTTTTAAAAAACACCACAGGTAAAAGCTGTGCTTTATAATGGTAACTTAACCGTTTTTCTGATTTTCTTGTGTGTTAGTTGTACCACACATCAGGTATTAATGTGGTTCCAAAAGGTAAGAATCAGCAAATCTAAAAATAGTTATACTACATTACAATGAGAACAGGCAAATTGGAAATATCTAAAACCAAGAAACCTCAGAGAAGAATAAAATAACAAAATTAGCCAATGACACCCCAATTCACAATGAAAAGGCGCAGAAATCACTTCAGCTCTCTTCCCATGGCTAATATTTTATTCTTCTCCATTTTGGATCCAATTGCTCAGACCTACAAGATCAGAAGATGTGTATTTACTAAAAGCTCAAGATCTATATGGCATGTGGTGCTGTCTACAAACTTAAAGTGATCAAACAAATATTGTTTTTGGAAAATCAGATTTTTACCTTTTTGAAATATAACCACTAATAATACCTGATGGAATACTACAAGTTGATGTGAAAATGATGAATAAAGCACTTATGAAGAGTTACTTGTAATTATCTCCTTAAAGTGAATTTGTGATTTGTTGTATTCAGCGGTTAATTTGAATAAACCTAGATAGCTTCACTTGTTCTCATCATCCTGCCCAAACTAAAGCTTAAAGCCTAGCGATGCTTTACCAAAGGTAATCCTCCATTTCAGTCAGCAGAGTTATCCAAATACATTATAAAATCAAAGCTAGAAAATACAACTCAAAACAGTTCATGATGACTTATACTGCTTTTTAAATAATCTGTGGCTGCTAGAAATATGATTTCAGTGCTCAAAGGGTTAAATCTAATGTGTTATTGTAAGTGTATTAATCTTTGCTTTGGAATTTTTGAACATCTTCACAGAAGAGTGATCGAATTCTCAGATGGGTTTATAAATATCATTAACACATAGGCCCACCCAACAACAACAAATTACGTTTGTACAGCGCCTTTCACGTCGGGAGGATGTCCCAAGGCACTAGTGAGTCATGGATTTGGACCCGAGCAGGTGGTTGGGATCAGGAAAGGTGGAGGGCAGGGAGGGTAGGGGTGTGAAGAGTGTCCGGAGGCAGGCCTTGAAGGTGGTATGGGAGGAGTGAGGCGAAGGGACTGGGATGGAGTTCGAAAGGGTTGGGGAAAAGAGGCTGAAGGGCAGGTTAACATTCTTGTACTAATATAGTTCTAATTATCGACTTTTTTTCAATTTTAACCAACCTCCTCACCCTACAGTTATTGGGAAAAACCTTAACACTTCCC